TGGGTGTGCACACACATATATATATGTATATCTCGGTGGGCTTTGTCTGTCCGTGTGTCCGTGGGAGGGAAACAGACCTCAAACCTGGCCTGACACGACACACGTATATTGGGTACACAGTACTTTGGATGCCCGAAATGGGCACGGAAACAGTGGGCACAATGCCCAACAGCAAATGTTGTCCCGAACCAACAGCGGCCGCTGTTGGGCAGGCGGCCTTCTGTCTCAAATGGATACAGGCCGCGGCGACGCGGACAGCGAGTCCTGTTCAAAATGAGCAGGAACTGCTGTTGGGCATCGTACCCATACTTTCCGTGCTCATCTCGTTCGTGCAGAAGTACTTGTCCACATCGGATCCGATTCCCCGAATTACGCGTTTACGTGCTTACGGTCCTGCATCTGGCGGGCCCGTCATGTCATATCCTCGTGCTCCGTGCGGCGGCATCGACAACGCCCCCCCCCCCCGCCCGAGGAGCGCCCAGCCTGCCACCCGGGGTGTGCGCGCCCGCCCCGTGCCTGTGTGCAAAGGGGGGAGGTGTCCACGCCGCCCTGCGCCGTGCAGCTGCAAGGGTGGGGCTCTTCGCCTGGATACAGATGCTTGCGCGTTTGGCACCTCCTGCTCGATGTTGACGTACTCGCTGTCCCACTCTGAGACGCCGCACTCGATGAGGTTCGTGCTCTTGAGCGGCTTCTGTATCTCCTCTGGAGCGTTGTCCTTGTGGTACTTGCAGTAGTCCAGGACCTTCGGAGGAGGATGGGGGCGAGAAGGAGAGGGAATGGGAGGAAGAGGAGGATGAGGAGGAGGGAAGGAGGATGAGGTGGTGGAAATTTCTGCGTGCACCCACTCATCCGACCCGCAAGACAGCCCCCCGGCAATTCGATTTCTACACTTCTCGACCCCCTTGCTGTGTAGCGTGCGCTCTCCTGCTGCCTGCAGGGGTCCCTCTGCCCTCTTACCAGGGGGCTCCAAGAATGCCCAGACCCGACAAACGTCCAATAGACCCGGTACGGCTCCAATGAGGCCCTAAGAAGCCCCTAGGCTTTCCAACAGGCCCTTCAGAAGGAGACGCACTGAAACACGTTTGATTTTTCAGGGCATTTTGGCCTCGCGCCTCTGAAGAAACACCCCAATCATACCCTTTACCGGCCCTCAACGGCCCCTGGATGGCCCAAGACGGCCGCAAGGGACCTCAAGACCACCCCAAGACTTCGCCGAGGCTGGCCACGACGCAAGACCAGTCCACGGCGGCCCCCTGTGCACCCCCTGGATGGCGCCAGGGCAGCCAAAACCTGCCCCAAGACTCCCTAGACGACCGCAAGACCCTCCAAGGTGAACCGAAGACCCCCAGCAAGTTACCCCAAGAGTCCCAAGCAATCTCCTCAACGATTCTCTGCCGAGCTTTTGGCGGCCGAACCCCCACTGGCGTGACGCATGACCCTCTGGACAATGGGGAAAATACTTGTCACATATTACGGTCGCTGTCCACCAGGGAAGTAAACCGTTAGATGTCAGCCCAACGTGATCTGAGAGCGAGACATGTTACATGGTATGGCTCGACAGGCCCGAGGACGACAGCTTCGGATCATGGGCGTGACATGTCACGGCCCTCTGAAACCTAAACGCGAGAGCTGCCGCATTGTACGGCCTCTTGAGTGCCACAAAGAGCAGGCGAACACCAGGTTTCAAGCTAAAAGGCTTGGGCCAACATGCTAGATGCACTGCTGCAGCCGTGATGATTGCATGATGCCTGACAGTTCACTCTGCACTCTTCCCTATTCCTGCCAGATCAGAGCAGGAGGAGGACCTTGCTGAGGATCGCCGTCTTCACGTTTGGCAGCGGGATCTCCTCGTCGGTGCCGCTGTCATCCACCATGTTCTTGATCAGCGTGGACATGCACGCAACCTCCGGCTCCACCTCGAAGACCTCGCCCTGGGAAGACTTCAGCTTCAGCAGCTCTCCCTCTCCGGCCATGTCGGACAAGTGCAGGAGAAACGCCTTGTTCACCAGCTCGAGGCGATGCTCAAGCTTCTGACGCACGAGCGACCCCCGGCCGACCCAATCGTGCTGATGGAGCCAAGGTGGCCACGGAGGCTGATGCCAGAGAGTCCGTGCCCTGCGTAGGCTTCGCGTGGGCCTCTTGGGGGCCAGCTTCCCGGGTCTCCGATGGCCGGATTCGCGCCGGACGGTCTGGGCAGTCGTCCTTGATCTCGGCCTCTGTGGCCCGCCTGCGGGCCCCGGGGCCATCAGACATTTGACCCGGGCCGACAACTTGCCGTCGCTCGGACGTCCATTTCCCGTGCATTTTTCGATTTCGTGCGTGTTTTTTTCGCCTAATGATCAAGGATGCTCCTCGATGGTCCTCGCCGAAGGAAAAATGCACACGTCCGAGCGATGCCAAGACAAACGGGCCCCGGAGAGAGGGGTCGAAGCCTCTGGGGCCGCGCATTGGACAACGGCAGATCGTCGGATGTCCGGGGAGGAGGTGGAGGCTTGGCCAGGGAGGCACATGCACTGCTCCTGGGCCCAGGGTGGGCCAGGCCTGTGGGAGTGAGCATGTATAGATCTCGCTGTCCTATCTCAGGGCTCCCAGGGGGGGGCAAGAATATCCGCATCGGCTGCCTGGGCCTAACTGATGGGTGCCTCGGTGTAAATTCGGACCAGGCCCCTGCAGCCCGCGAGCGTGCCGCGCGCTGAAGCCAGCGACGAGCTGAACCCCAGGCCGCAAGCGGTTGTGAAGGCGCTCCTCCGCCCGACCGGCGGGCAGGCCTCTTCCCAGATATCCGGCGATGCGACTTTTTCAATCCGAGTGTCTTTCTTTGGCCTCTGGGGCCCTCCCTGGGCAATCAACAACGGGCCTGGTACGAAAAACTGGACCCGGGGAAGGAGTCGGGACCTCTGGGGCCGCGCATTGAGCAACATCGTACCGTCGGATGTCTGTGGATCGCCCCGCGCGCCTGGCCGCCTCTTCGCCGACACCCGACCTGGCCACAGCTCTGCCTGGACTTCAGGCAGATCCGACCGAAACTAGAGGATCGAATTTTCTAATTATTTTCGGCCTCTTCTGGGCCTCCTTGTCGCCGTGGTGAGTCCGTCTTGGATGTCCGGCCAGGTCGAACCTCGGGAGAGGCCCAGGGAGCCGATACGCGAGGAGTAAGACCCAGACCTCCTGCGTCATGATCTTTCCATCCCAGTGTCTCCTCTCAGTTTCGGTTTCTGGCAAGGCGCATTGGATGCAAGGCGCAGTGGACTCAGTGGGCTGCCTCTTCTGGCGAGGCGAGCCGGCGCGGGGAGCGAGGCAAGCACGCTCGCTGCCCTGCCGAGCGCCTCACCCCAGTCGTCCTCGAGGCGGAGGGGCGGCTCGGTGCCGAGGCGCGCCCCTGGCTTGAAGGCGAGCCGCCTGCCTGACGCCGAGCAGGCCAGCGAGCTCCCTCGCGCGCACCGCGTGCCCGCCTGCGGCCTGCAGGGCGAGCTGGCGACCCGGCTGCGTGCCGCAGCCTGGCGCGGAGGCGCCGGCGGGCGGCGAGCCGCGGCGCTGGGGACCGCAGCTGCGCGCAAAGCCGAGGGCCCGCGCTGGCGCGCGGGCTGGCCATCGCTCGGACGTCGATTCCCTGTGTTTTTTGTCGGTTTCGTGCGTGGTTTTTTCGCCAAATGATCAAGGATGCTCCTCGATGGTCCTCGCCGAAGGAAAACTGCACACGTCCGAGCGATGCCAAGCGGGCGGGCGACCCGCGACTGCGCCTGTGGCTGCCGCGCCGGGCGCTGCTGCGCTGGCGCGGCGCCGCCGCGAGCTGGCGCGGGGCTGCGGAGCAGGCTTGGAGCCGCGGCGCCCGGCTCGGCGGGCGGCCTGTCGCTGCCCTGGCCGCGGGGCGGAGGGCGGCGCAGGGCGGGCGCTGCGCCGCGGGGGCGTCGACCCGGAAGCGAGCAATTCTCCCACCCGCTGGGAGGAGCCCCGCCCGGGTACGGGACGTCTCCCGGGGGTGGGGCGCCAGCAGCAGCACGACCTGCTTGCCTGCGTGGGTCTGCTTGCCTCCCTGCGGATGCTCCCCGTCGGACAGACTTCGTGCGCAGAGTCTGTCTGCCTGTCTGATTGCCTGACTGACTGACTGACTGTCTGTCTCTCTGGCCTCGGTACCATCAGACATGGATCCAGGACGAGAATCTGCCCTCAGCGAGGGGCTGGAAGCCTCCTGGGGCCCGCGGACAGTCCGTCGGAAGCATGTGTGGCCGCTGGTCCGCGACTGCTCTGGCGGCTGCTGCCTTCTCCTGTATTTGGCGGCGCGCGCAGGCCGGCCACCCGCACCTGGGGGAGCTATGTTCCCAACCCCTCCGGGAGAGAACCCGTCGTATCGACGATCTCCCCAACAACCGACTCGTCGTTGTTTTCGGCCTCCGGAGGCCGTCTCCCGGCCCCAGGACCGTCAAACACAGGCTTAGGATGAAAAACCAGCCCAAGAGAGAGAGAGAGTCGAGATCCCCAGGGCCAAAGTCACGAACAAGACTGCGACGTCGGAGGAGAGGGTCTCGAGAGGGCTATCGAAGCCAATGGCCCCACCCCCCACGGTGGGCGCACGGACCGCAACTGCCCTGGCTGTGGCGGGTCCAGAAGGGGCGCCAACTGGCCATTGCTCGGACGTCCATTCCCTGTGCTTTTTTCGGTTTCGTGCGTGGTTTTTTCGCCAAATGATCAACGATGCTCCTCGATGGTCCTCGCCGAAGGAAAAATGCACACGTCCGAGCGATGCCAAGCCAAGGGCGGGGAGGTCGCCCCCCGCCCCATTGAGAGGCGAACGGCGGATGGCTTTTCAGATGCGCCAGCCCCGAGACGGCCGCCCTCCTTGCCCTTCTCCTCCTTGCGCACCGCCAGCTGCTGCTGCTACTGTTGCTGCTCCTCCTCCTCCTCCTCTTCTTCTTGTTCTTCTTCCGTCTCCTCTTCCTCCTCCTCCTCCTCCCCGCTTCCCCTCCGCCTTTCTATTCTCCTACTCCTCCTCACTTCCGCTCCTCTGCGTTGAGGTGGAAGTAGGTGAACAGCACCGTCACCGTCATCGCCACCAGCAGGAGCATACCGAAGGCCAGCAGCAGGATGCCGTACAGCGAATAGATGCGGGGTCCTCGGCCGCCCGCTCTCGCGCGCCCGCTCGTCACCGCCGCCGTCCTTCGGGACGTACTCCTCCTCTTTTTACTGTTTGTATTATGGGTGCTTTTTAACATATCTAAAGCTCATGATACATTTGCGTATGTTGTGTTAGCCAGCGTGGGCCCTAACATAGTAAGTTCTTGCAGTGTATGCAGTGGGTCTAAATGGTGCAACCAATGTGGTGTCACCTAGGTGGGGCAATCCATGTGGCGCAATCTATGTGGCGCAGAGCAACGCTCAACAACGACAATTGGTGCAATCTATGTTGTGATAAGCAACGCTAACCAACGACAAGCAATGCAAAGCAATGCAGGGCAATGGAGAGCAATTAGAAGCAACGCGAAGCAATGCAATGCAAAACGATGCAACGCAAAACGAACTAGTACAACACGGTTCAAAACGATGCAAAGCGAAGTAATGGCAAAGCAGCGCAATGCAAACCAATGCCAACAACTACCAAGCAGTGTCAAATAAGTTTCACTAAGTGCAAATACTGTTAGGATAATCTCTAGATGTGCAAGATACCTACTCATAGATTTTAGCCAGCGTGGGCCCCCCACACGTTCTGTGTTCTAGCACTCTGTGTTGTGCAATCTACGTGGTGCAACCTAGTGTGTGCAATCTATAGATTGTGCAATCTATGTGATGTCATCTATGTGGCACGCCATATGTTGTGCAGTCTGTGTGGTACAATAGGTGTTGTGCAATCCATGTGTTGCAAACTATGTGGTCCAATACATGTTGTGCAATCAAAGTGGTGCCATCTGAATGGTCCACAATATGTTGTGCAAGGTGATGCAATCTATGTGGTACAGGTTAAGTTGTGCACCATATGTTGTGCAGTCCATGTGGTGCAATCGATGCTGTCCACGATAGGTTGTGCAAACTACGGTTAAGGCATTGGCTGGCAACTTTTGGAAAAAAAACCCAGAGTGTGAAAGCCGGTGGAACTCCAATCGTGGCCGGCCATGGATATCACCACTGCCCTCATCAGACAAGGAATCCCCAAGGGTCTGTAGCCTCCTGGGCACATTCCTTAACCAACGCCCCCCTCCGTATGTAGTGCAGTCTAAGTCGTGCAATTAATTTCTGTTCGCACTGAGTTGTCCACCCCAGTGCTCGCGCAATCATCCCACCCACCCACCCGCAACTTGGGTTGTAAAACCCATGCGGCGACGACTGCGACGAGTGCTTGGAATTGGCTGGTGCTTCTCTGCGGCCGTGCTAGCCCGCGCATGCTCGCGGGCGCAGCGGCCACATAGTTTGGCGCCACCGGCGCGACCGCGGTGGCGCTGACCGCAGGGCACTTTCCAACGGGCATTTCAGTGCGAGTCGGCGATTTGGGCGGGCGCGGTATCATGACACCGTCGACAAGGGTAGACGCGATAATGGTGGTATAATATCGGTTGTGCACTCTATGTGGCGCTACCTATGTGGTGCAACGTGGGTTGTGCAATCCGTGTGGTGCAATCGACGCGGTGGAATTGACAACCCTGCACCGCGCTTGACCACCTCCACTGCTCGCGCAAACATCCCACCCACCCACCCGCAACTTGGTTTGCAAACCCCATGCGGTGGCGATTGCGATGAGTGCTTGGCGCTGGTTGGTGCATCTCTGCGGCCGCGACACCCTGCGCATGCACGCGCGCGCAGCGGCCAGTTGCTTTGGCACGACCGATGCAGCCGCGGTGGTGCTGACCACCGCGAATTGGGCGGGCGCGGTATCATGGCAACATCGACAACGGTAGACACGGTGATGATAGTAGCGGTGCTGGTGACGATGCTGACAGCGACGACGGCACGTCCAGTGACGGCGCGGATGCTGATCACACCGACGACGATGACGGCAATCTCGTGTCGGTGATGAAGGTTTTTGAAAGAGTTCGACATGCGCGCGCGGCCGACGCGCGAGAGTGGCCCGCGTGGTATTATTTGACACGGATCGGGCCCCCCCAGCCCTCGACACGCGCGCAAGGGCGTGCGATTGATGTCGGCATGCGGCGCCAGGGGCCCGTTTGGCAGAATTCCATGATCAAGTTGAAAAAGCTATGGTTTTCTGAAGTACCCGCAAGAATGCGAGCGCAGTCTTGTTTGTTCTCAAAAAAACTGCTGTTGCGAAACCATGTGTTCCTATTAAATGTGTTTTGGACATTCGTTTGCGAAATCGTTACGCAACGGAAGATTTTGATAGATTTCGGCATGCGCGCGACGACGCGCGCGTGTGCACATCGTTCCGTTTTTTGCAGAAAGGATTTCCGCGACGGCACGCGCGCAAGGGCGTTCGAACGATTTCGACATGCGCACGCGAAGCCCGTCTGGTAGCATGTTCTGAACATTGTGAAAAACCTAAGGTTTTCTTACGTCTTCGCAAGAGCGCGCGGATTTTCATTTCAGGCTATACTTGTTTACTCATATTAGATATGTGTGCATACATGTATCCTTCTCGTGCCTGCTCGTCTTCCCCGCTCGCGCTGCGTCCCCCGCCCCCCCGATTGCTCGGCTCAGGTCACCGGAAGGCCACCCCTCGGCGGCTGGCATCGAAGCCGCCAAGGGCACGGGTGGTGGCCTTCGGCTGAGAAAAACAGAGGGGGGCCTCCCGGAAAGGGATCGCCCCCGCCACCTCCTCGTGCTCGGCATGCAGGAAAGGGGGGGGGATCTTCTTCCTCTGGTGGCATCGGGGTTCAAGTTCAACGCTCCTTCCTTCATCTGTTCCTGCTCCTGCTCCTAGCCATGCTCGGCACGCACGACAGGAGAGGGGGCCAGTAAAGAGGAGGGTAGCGAATCAGCTCGCGCAGCTGGTCTCCTCGGCGCCTCCTGGCGCCACAGCCGCACATTCACCGAAGAACTCGGGCCGGTTCGTGGCTCCGGATTTGGGTAGAACTTTCCTGCCGATTTCGGTGGGCGGCGAGGTTCCCAGAGTCGGTCGAGAGTGAAAAGGATGTAGAGATAGCAGCGCGCAGGGCAGAGACGAAGGACGACGACGACGACGACGACGGCGGCGGCGGCGAAGGACGACAACGACCGCAACGACGACGGCGGTGGACGCGCGGGCCCCGCCAGCTACGATGTCGTGGACTTCGGTTGTATTCGTCGCCGTCGTCGTAGTCGTTGCGGTCGTCGCTGGCGTGCAAAGTAAAACATGGCCCGCAGGACCTCCGGCGTCACGAAATAGTAGTGGCATCTGGTTTTCCTACAGTTTCGGCCTCTGGGGACGCGTTTCGATCCCCAGGACTACAAGCAAAAGCGACCTGGTATGAAGAAGGTTGCGGTTGAGAGGTCTGGGGGCCCACGTCAGGAAAAAAACGTGATGTCGGATGTTTGGGGAGGATTCTGCTATGAGGACGTTGGATGTCTGGGAAGGAGAAAAAGGAGGAGGAGGCGGAGGAGGAGGAGGAAGAGGAGGAAAAGGGGGAGGAGGAGCGGGAGGAGGAGGAGGAGGAGGAGGAGAGGAGGAGGAGGAGGAGGAGGAGGAGGAGGAGGAGGAGGAAGAGGAGGAGGAGGAGGAGGGGAATGGGGAGGAAGACCAGGGAGGAGGACCGGAGGGAACCCAGGGAGGGTGCATCAATGATGCTGCAACGCACGCTCCCTTCCCAAATCCTCTCGCCATCTGCCCCTGAAGATCTTCTTCTCCACTGCGGGGGGCGATCCCTTGAGTGACGAGTGGCCGGTGGGCCTGCCACTCAGGCGAAACCCCCTCCTGTGAAGGCTCCACCCTCCATCCTGCCAGCCCACAAGGTTTGCAAAGAGGCAGGGTGATACAATTCAGCGCGGCGCCCAGCCACAGCCGCCTGTTGGACCCGATCTGCCCTCCATCCGCGCGAGTGTCTTCACCATTTCAGGAAGCTGGCCGCCAAGTTTGCGGAAGTCTCAAGCGAGAGCCCGATTTCGCAAACGCCCGACTCCCCATCAGTGAAACTGTTGCACGATCAACAGCTTCGCGTCGTAGAATTTGAGGCGAGTGACGTCGTTTAAACACGACCAGCCTTCCTTTCTCGCATTTGTTGGAAACCTAGCAAACGAATGTGCGCGTCCCTAAAAAGCGAACGCTGTCTTTTGATAACGGCCCGCCCTCTATCCTTCTAGCTGTGTGCGGCTGTGAAGAAGGATGTGCGCGGCGCTAGGGCAAACGCCGCGTTTTTAAAACGACCGGCCTTCAATCCTTGGGTCTGGAGTTTTCAATTTCAAGATAACACGCAACAGAGAGAGTCTCAAGCGAAACGCCTAGCCCACGGACGCATCTGGTGGTGCCACAGGGGGGACTCATCTGTAAGGAAGTGGGGTGGGGGCGGGTGGGGGGGAGGAGGAGGAGCGAACGTACCCCGAGGAAGAGTCCCGAGCCAACTAGGCCTGCATGGCGAGCCTAGCCGCAGCAGCAACCCGTGTTGATGTAGCATATGTGTGATGGGAGTGGTGGTAGTGGTGGGGATCTAGTCTTTGCTCTTGTGGTAAATGTGAAAAGCAAAGACAGTGGTCTCAACGGCCTGGAGCCTCGAGATCTCGCATTCTTCCGAGCCGTAGTCCGAAGGACACCCGAGGCCCAGCCAGAGAAGGGGGTCCGAGGGAAAGACGCGCCGCACCCAACACAAGGCGACGTGGTGACGGAGACGGGGACAAAGGAGCGAATGAGAAATCGAGTCAGATCCACCGCGCCTGAATATACCATCGCGAGTATGGCGAGACACGCGCACTCGTGTGCTCGTGGTCCAGCCGCCGCAGAGACTCTCAGCGTGCGCCCACTCCCAGGCTGCCTCCAGGCAGGGTCTGACGTGGGCCAGGCATTCTCGGGCCAGGGTCCAGCGATCGGCGAGGCTTGGCGGCGCTGTGTATCCCCGGGCTCCGAGACGGCGGCCGATCAGTGAGGCCTGTCTGCGTGCAGCGACTGGACGCGCGACTGACCGACGACCCTCGGGATCTTCGGCCTCCCGCTCTGCGCTGCGCCCGGCCTCGCCTCCTGCCCGCTCGCGGCCCCCGCTCTCCCTCCCGGGCGCGGGAAGGGGGCGGGAAGGGAAGCGCGGAGGGCGCGGGGGGCGCGGCGGAGGAGAGGAGGAGGAGGAGGAGGAGGAGGAGGAGGAGGAGGAGGAGGAGGAGGAGGAGGAGGAGGAGGAGGAGGGAGGAGGAGGAGGAGGAGGGGGAGGAGAGGAGGGAGGAGGAGGAGGAGGAGGGGAGGAGGAGGAGGAGGAGGGAGGAGGAGGAGGAGGAGGAGGAGGAGGAGGAGGAGGAGGAGGAGGGAGGAGGAGGAGGAGGACACGAGGGGTGGCATGCACAAAGCTCGTGGTACATTTGGACGATGGCCCGGGGGTGCTGCCAGCAGGGTGCGCGCCATGCGCCCGCCGCGCCGCGGAGCGCAGAGAGAGGGGCGGCGCCGCAGACCTGGCCCGCGGCAGTCTCGAGGAGATTGTGAGCGGCCCGCCCGTCGGGGGCGGCGTCGTTCGCCGCCCGCCATGCAGAGGAAGTGCCACAGACAGCAAGAGAGGGGGCAATGCAAATCCACGAGAGAGAGAGAGAGAGAACAAAAAAAGAGGGAGGGAGAGACAGAGATAGAGAGAGAGGATATCGGCACGGGGGAAAGTGTTAGACGGGGGACGAAGCATCTAGTGTATCGCGGGAGCCTCGCGGGACACAGCAAGAGGCGACGCGTGGAATACTTGGCTCAAGTGCCCGAGCGTGCTGACTGCGTGCGTTTGGTACTGGTACATTATCAAGGGAGCAGCGGCGCTGGAGGGCGGAAGCTCGGTTGTGCGCTGCCGCTGTTTCTGAGATGCATCCTGCCACTGCTCGAGGATCCCGCCCCCTCGTCCGAACTGTGCCCCCAGGTGCGCGGTGGCAGGCTGCGCGTCAAATGATGCAGAGACAGGGGCCTCGGATGCTAGCCGCGAGCGGATGCGGCGAACGACGACTCCTCTGCGCTCGGGCCAGGGCTGGACGATGCAGCATTTGGAGGGATAGTGCCCGAGGTGCGCAAGCTGCTCGATGTCCGCATTGCAGAGAGCGTGCCGAGCTGAGGGAGGAGCGCACCAATGTCGCCAGCGCCACCCCCGAGCTTTCCAGGGGTGTTCCCGACGGGCGGCCTTTCAACGACAGCCGAAACCAATCTCGCAGCAGGGTCGAAGATCAACGCCCACGCAGTGCCCGAGAGGGGGCAACCCTGGAACACTCCACTACAAATCTAGAACATGAATTGCCGCCGAACCGGCCAGAGCCTTTGGGAGAGAAGTAGAACGTATGAGGGGGGTTGAGGCATCCCTGTGGCAGCCCTTGGCGACGAAGAGTCTCGAAATGTCACGGCGCGCTGCCGACGGGCGAGCCGCAGCCATGTCGAAGGGAGCGAAGCGTGGCATGTTGATGCCCCCCTGCGGGGCAATGCTGAGAGCACGGGCCGCGGCGTCCGCGTGGACGTCGCGCGCGTGTTTTTCGCCCGCGACTCGCGCGCGCGCAATCTTGGGGCTCGGCTGCGAATCTGAAATTGAGATGTGCTGGCAATGATCTTGGAACCGGTGTTGCGAAAGGGGGAGGGGTCTCACTTTGCTCGGCTGGCGCGCGCGCCAGAAGTTTTTGAAGCCGTATTGAGGCCTTTGAAGCATTTTGAATGTTTTCCTGGCCGATTTTCAGGCATCTTCGCTATTTTGAAATCTTCCAGACGTTTTGGAAGCCGTTTTGGGCCTTCTTGGATGCTTCAACGCGTTACCGAGCGCCCCGTTCAGGTCAGAGGCGCAGCCGCGCGCGTCTGGCGGAGCGGGCCACTCCGGCAGCAAGGCGGGGGCAGAGCCGTTGAGATTCGGGGCGGGGCAGGGCCGCCTCTGGACCAGCGCGGGTGCCGCGTCGTGCAGAGTGTCGAGCTGTATGGGGAGGGCGGCCCAAGCAGGGCAGGTAGACCCATCTGGGCCAACCGCGGAATGGCGGGCACAGCGGAGAGCCTGCTCGAGGCCAGCACGGGTCGGGGCGGCGAGGCTGGCGAGCTCGGATCCGCCCGCGAGGATACCTGGGCCCGCATGCCCGTCCAGGTGCTGTCGGGGCCCGTCAGGCTCGTTGCGTCTGGCCATGGACACTTGTTCCAGTGGTCCGATAGAGCGGCGCGGATATCTTCGGCCGAGCGCGCGATCGGAGGCGCGTTATCTGGCGCCCCAGCTGTGGCTTCGGGTTGGGCCCCCTGGAGGACATGCGTGGCGCCGCGAGGCCCCCAGAGCTTGGCGCGCTTCTTCGAATGTGCGCCAGCCACTGGGTCCTCGAAGATGCTGCGCCAAAGCAAGGGCGCGCGGTCTGTCGACCTCATCCAACGCCTGGACGGGATGTCGCCGATGAGCTGGACCTGCTCCGCGGAGATGCTCGCGTCTGCGAGCCACTGGGCGATGCGGGCGGGCGTGCGGGCGGGCGGGCGTGCGCGTGCGCGCGCGCGCGTGCGTGTGCGTGTGCGTGTGCGCGTGCGAGTGCGTGTGCGTGTGCGCGTGCGTGTGCGTGTGCGTGTGCGTGTGCGTGTGCGTGTGCGCGTGCGTGTGCGCGTGCGTGTGCGTGTGCGTGTGCGCGTGCGTGTGCGTGTGCGCGTGCGTGTGCGTGTGCGTGTGCGTGTGCGCGTGCGCGTGCGCGTGCGGCGAGCCGCTCGTGAAGGAGGGTCGGGTACGCGGCGCGCTCCCACTCCGCCAGCTAGGCAGTGTCGACGGCAGAGGCCTCGGACTCCGCGAGGGCGAGAGTGTGCTCCAGCTTCGCAGTGGCATCACGAACGCGATCCTGCTCCTTCTCATCCTTGCTTGGCGCTGTTGGATGTCAGCGGCTTGGTGTGCTTGCTGGTCGGCGCGAATCTTAGTCTGTTGCGCCTGGGCGATACAGGTACGCATGCTGGCCACGACGTCTGTCTGAGCTTTCAGCAGCGTGTCCCCACATACTTTCTGGAGCTGCGCCGATGCGGGGGTGGTTTGGGTCTTGAAAAAACGTGCTCGAACTGCTTCTCGATGTCAGTGGCGGCGGTGCCATGTCCACTCCACGGGTCGGGGCCTCCCAAAATCTGCCACGGGTCTTCAACAACACGCGGGGCAAAGGGCGCTGCAGAAAAAGGATGCCGCGAAGCCTTGACTGTTGACCTCCTGGCTGGGAAAGGTGGGCGCCGCCTCCAGGTCAGCGAAGAGGGAACCGTCAGCGACCATGACGTCCAGCGTGGCGGCGGCAGAAGCTGCGCGGCTGTCCCCTGGCACCTGACGAGGGGAGCTCCGCGGCTTACGTCGCTCAGGACGGGGGCGGCTGCCATCAGCTTGCTCATGATGTTGCTGCTGGAGCCGTCGTTGACGAGGACGAGGAGCGTTGTCCCCAGCACTGCGGCCACTACGGTTGTGGCTGCGGTCAAGATCTGCATGTGCGCTGCTGCTCCTCGAGCTGTCCGACGTCGACGTGGCAGGAATTGGGAATTCCAATTTACCCGCCAGCGCGACTGCACGAGCGGCGTCGCAGAGACTGGTGAGAAGAGATGCTGCTGTGCGGGGGCCCAGGTCCCGTGGAAGAGGCCGAGAAGGATTGCCAGACAAAAGTGTCTTGCCCCGCTTTGGACCAGAGTCTCCACTCTGATCCACGGGGGGAACATCGCCTTGAGCCAACATGGTTTAGGAGGGGGGGGAGGAGGACGAGGAAGAGGAATAGGAGGAGGAGGAGGAGGAGGAGGAGGAGGAGGAAGAGGAGGAGGAGGAGGAGGAGGAGGAGGAGGAAGAGGAGGAGGAGGAGCGTGCGGCATGAGCCTCCCGTCCCTGCCCCTCCCCAGACGGAGTTGAAGATGTAGTGGAGCTCTATGTAGATCGCGCTGAAGGGCAGGAAACCAGTAGCAAACATCTGCGTGATCGGAGCCTGGTACCTACCGCGGCCACGCGCGCCCTTTGACGCGCTTCCGCGGAAGACTGGGGACGGGTCAGGCGGAGGGCAAAGGTGGAAGGAAGGACGGCGAGGAGGACAAGGCGGGGGGGAGGAGCAGGACAGGGGGCATGGGGAGGAGCCTGAGGGCGAGGAGGACGGCGAGGATGGGGAGAGGGAGGGCGAGGAAGGGGCAGGAGGACACGGAGGGTGATGATGCTGCTGATGATCATGCTGATGATGATAGTGATGATGACGGTGATGGTGATGGTGATGGTGATGGTGATGGTGATGGTGGTGATGATGATGATGATGATGATGATGATGATGATGATTCTGATGAGAAGGATGATGACGATGATGATGATGACGATGATGATCATGACCATGATTATGCTGACGATGGCGAGTAGGAGGAGGAGGAGGAGGGCGATGAGCAAGGAACGAGGAGGAAGGAGCTCAAGGGGAGGACGAGCAGGGAGCGGCTAAGGGAACGGCGAAGGAACAAGACCGACAGGGATGATTGCGATCCAACGCGGTGTGTTCTCTGGGACAGCTCGAAGCCATCAGCCGAAACATTGGGCATTTAGATGATTGTTCGCTCCGCCCCTTCGGGCAAGCAGCCTGCGGCCCCGCTCGGTGAGGTCGTCTGGGCCCCGGCAAAACCGCCCGAAGGGGGGCATGCAACAAACGGGCCCCGAGGGACACTGATCTTGGACCCCTGGGTCTTTCGGGTCGGGCGAAAGCGGGGGATAGCAAAGGGGGGGTTTGAGAATCAGCACGCGTAGCTGATTTTCCTGGCGCCTCCGGGCGCCGGAGGCGGCCATGTATCGAGGAATGGGCCCCTCGGTGGGGCTGAAACCAGCTGCATGCAGCAGATTTCGTACCCCCCCTGTCCCTATTCACCCCTTTCGTTCGGCCCGAGGATCTTGGACCCCTGGGTCTCCCCTCGAGGCCAGCTGCGCGTCCCGAGCCGATCTCCGACAGTCCTGGGGCTGGTGGGGGGGGCGCGGGAGGGACAGAAGCGGTGAGGAGCCTCAAAGTCCGTTTCCCTTAAGCCGTGTCTGCCTCACGGCGAGGAACACCCGTGATGGCCTTCGGCAGGCTCGTGTCGTGGCAACTTGGGTGTTGGCTTTCGACACCGCGTGGAACGTTCAGAACGATTGGAGCTCTCAGAAAGCGCAGATCGCTCGATGTTGGACGAATGGCCGCTGGCGTCGTTCAACCTGGAATGCCCGCGGTGCGGTCGTCGGCGGGGGCGAGGAGAGTCATGGGCATCGGGCGTGCATGCCGCGTCGCGCCGGCACGCCGCGCGTCCGGCGGTCTGCTTTGGGGGCTCCCCCTGTGGGCTCGCCGCCGGGGCTCTTGGCCTCTTCCCTCGAGGCTCCCTCCTCCCCGTGCTGCTGCTGCTGCTGCCCTCGTGGGATGAGGAGGAGGAAGAGGAGGAAGGGAAGGGGAAGGGGAAGGGGAAGAGGAAGGGGGAGGAGGAGGAGGAGAAGGAGAGGAGGAGGGAGGAGGAGGAGGAGGAGGAGGAGGAGGAGGAGGAGGAGGAGGAGGAGGAAGAGGAGGAGGAGGAGGAGGAGGAGGAGGAGGGGGGAGGAGGAGGAGGAGGAGGAGGAGGAGGAGGAGGAGGAGGGAGGAGGGAGGAGGAGGAGGAGGAGGAGGAGGAGGAGGAGGGGAGGAGGAGAAAGGGGAGGAGGAGGAGGAGGAGGAGAGGAGGAGGAGGAGGAGAGGAGGAGGAGGAGGAGGAGGCGAGGGGACGGGAACGGTGATTAGGAAGGGGAGGAGGAAGGGTAGGAGGAGGGGGATGGGGAGGAGGAGGACGAGGAGGAGAAAGAGGAGGCGGAGGAATGGGGGGGAGTGTGGAGGAGACGCAGGCGGAGGCGGAGGATGAAGGAGAGGACTGCGGAGAAGGAGGAGGAGGAGGAGGAGAAGGAACATGAGGATGAAAGGAAGGGAGGGAAGGAGAGAGTGAAAGAGGAATCGTGAGGCTTTCGCTGGATGGTTCCACGGCTCGTGATGTGGGTTATCCTGGCCTCTTTCCTCCTCTCCTGCGACGGCGCATCTGGCCCTCTCCGCTGCGACGGGGCGCCTCGGCGCGATTGCGGGCGTCCTGCCCTACCCCGCTCCCACGCCCTCGCTCCTCCCAGCCCATGTCCGCTCCGCCACGAAGGGGCGCCTTCCTGCCGTCGCTCGGACGTCCATTTCCCGCGCATTTTTCGATTTCGTGCGTGTTTTTTTTGCTCGATGGTCCAGGATGGTCCTCGATGGTTCTCGCCGAGAAAAAATACACACGTCCGAGCGATGCCAAACCTTGGCGCGATTGCGGGTGTCCTGTCCTCCCCTGCTCACGTGCCCGCACCCATCCCAGCTCGGGCCCCGCAAGACGAGGAAACACAGAGCGCAGCGGGGGCACGACGATCTCAATGCTGGTGTGATGGTGATCCATCGGACGGTGTTGCAGTACGGAGGAGCTGCAGATTTTGCCCTCTCGCGGCTGCTGTGCGCATTCAGTGGCCATCTATTATGGTTGTGCTGCCCCACTGGAGGCACTGTACAGGGAGGAAAAAACGCGAAGAGGCGACACATGCAGAAACAGTGCCACGCTTGCCGAGGCAGCATCGATGCAAAAACAACCCGTGGCAACAAGCGAACATAAACAACAACCTGATGCGCACATGCCGAGCTCAGAATCCGCCGACCCCCGCTTGCTGGGGGGTGAAAATGCGTGTGAGACATTGGCCTGTCCCCCTTCCCCTGGGGTCCAAAATGCCGCTTGAGGGGATGGAGGGGGGGGACGAGCTCCTAAACGCATCCCCGGGGCCTCCGGAGCCTCGCCAGAAACCCAAGACGGCGCATGGGTCCAAAAACAGAACGCTAAAACAGTGCCAAAACAGCCCATGAAAGCGTCAAGATCGCCCACGGTAGCCCCACGACGACCCCAAATGGCTTCGAGACGGCCCACGAGGCGCCCAAGACGGCTCAAGAGTGCTCCCAGAGGACCGCCGAGAGGGCCCCCAGAAGCGAAAACCGTCCCATTCCTATCGGATATGTACTTTTTAAACGTACTCGCCTTCGTCGGTCTGACACATGGTCAAAGGCGGCGCAAGGTGTTCCCAAGATCGTCCCAGGACGGCCAATGAGGCATCCAAGAGGGCTGAATATGAGACCCATTCTAAACAACAGACAAGACAGTGACGGCCACCTCTTGGAGGGCAACGGGGCTGGGTAAATCCCAGGGTGCAAACCCTTCAAAGTGATTAATGCCCCACGTGCGGGCAGCATCGAACCAATGGTGTGATGCGAATATCGACATGCTGCTCGATACACGAAGCGCAGCCTCTTACACCAGTCGTTTGGACAGTTGCCCGCGACAGCCATGAGGCATAACTCCCTGGAACAGCCAAGCAACCACGTTCAGCAAGCTACAAACATGTCAGTAGAAAGAAACGGGCCGCAGAACAGTGCAATCTGTTTTCGGGCGCTGGCGATATTCTCGGGGTTGTTCGGCTGCTCCTCGTAGCAACCTCCGAGATCCAACGCCGCCAACAAGTCTCAACGTCAAGAAAAAAACACCGCCGGAGCTCGCGAGCTCATCTTCCCGCCCCTCATTCGAGCGGGATCGGTCCGTGACGGGCAGAAATGCGGCTCATGATGTCAGCGCGACCCCCAGACAGCAAGTTGCCCGGAGGTCTCCAGAGTTCTCCTGCAGGCGTATGGAAGGGCCCCAAATGTCCCCAGAGATCCCTGGACCCCTTTCGGCGGTGGACAAACCTCCCTTTAGTAAACCTCCCCTTAGTGAAAACGGCCTGGGACCGAAACCGACGGACCTGGACCCGCAAAAATGACGGCCGCGACGCCCTCTCGCGAACTGAAAACGGCCAATTCACTAATCGACGTGTCAGGGTAGGAGGTCTATCCACCCCAGACCCTTGAGGCCTCCAGAGGCTCATCGAGAACCCGCAGTGTAAAACAGCCCTTTGTTCTCGGCCCTCGCACCTCGACCTGGCATAGTGGGAAAAGGAACCTCGACGGCCGCAGGGCGCGGCAAGGGCCCTGGGAAGGCGAGTGCGGAGAGCCCCCTCCAGGATGAAGGGGCCCTGGGACACACACATAGATACATACAAATAACAGGAGCCCCCTATATTTTCTCATATTTTCTGGGTTTTTGTCTTCCCCCCCTCTTCCTGTATTTTCTTATACTTTCTTGAAGATCGACGATTAATGATGTCTGTGTTTTTTTCCCTCCTGACAGGACCAAGTTCCTCCAAGACCCACTCTCTTCATGCCAACCGATCCTCGACCCTCGCCAGCGTTGCCGGCGCGAGCTCCATTTGACACGCCCGAAGCTGGTACGGGGAACACGGTGTACGATTCCCATCAGCAAACGTTGTCCCAAACCGACAGCGGTCGCTGTCGGGCGGGCGACTTCTCGCCTCAAGTGGACCACGTCCGCGGCGACACCGACAGCGATTCCTGCTCAAAGCGGGCAGCGACCTGCTGTCGGTCTTCGTGCCCGCCTTCTCTCACCCACTTCGGCCCTCTCGAGCAGCGGCCGAGCCTCGACCCTCGCCCGCGCTGCCGCCGCGAGCTTCCCCGGCGAGTGAGCAGGGCGCTGTGCCGCAGGTAGCCCCGCGCCCTGCAACGGGGCAGGCGGCCTCGCGCTTTTTTGCGCCCTCACGCCGCGTCGAAGGCCGCGACCTTCCCGTCCAGGCCTTCGGCGGGCCCGCTCCTGCTGCCCCTTCCCCTGCCGCTGCTGCTGCTGTGGCTACTCCTCCTCGCCCCCTCGTCCTCGTCCACGTCCTCCTCCATCTCCTTCCCCCCCCCTCCCTCTTCCTCCCCTCCCTCCCCTTCTCCTCCTCCTCCTCCTCCTCACCTCCTCCTCCTCCTCTTCCTCCTCCTCCTCGTCCTCCTCCTCCTCCTCTCCTGCGCGTCCTCTCGTCTTCCTTTCCCTTTCCCTCCTCCCTCCTCCTCCTCTTCCTCCTCCTCCTCCTCCTCCTCCTCCTCCTCCTCCCCCTCCTCCCCCTCCTCCCCCTGCCCCTCTTCCTCCCTCCTCTCCCGCCGTCGTCTCCAGACCTCCAAACGTCGAGAACAGAAGGACAACTGGCGTTTTCTATCAATCTGGACCTCCAGGGGTCGTTGCTGTGGGTCACAACGTGAACAACCTGGAATGACAAACTAGTCCTGGGGATGGGGCTGGCAGCTCCAGGGCCCATATCGTGAACAAAATCACGACGTTGGAGGTCTGGGTCCTCCCTTCCTCTGCTGCTGGGGGGAAGAGACAAGAGCGGAGGGACTAGCTCAAGGTGGAGACGTCGGTCTGGAATCGGCGATGCATCCCCGACAGATCGGCGATAGGCCCGCGCGCCTCTGGGCGGGGTTTGGGGGTGGGACACACAAGCTCCAACCTGATGAGTGGGCGACCACGGGGCCGACATTCCACCTTCCGGGCCAACCCCTACCGGTTCGGCCTCCCTCATCGCCAGGGCTGCCAGGTAGGCCAGAGCAGGGGGTGCGGGGAGGCCACGACGACACGACGACACTACACGACGACATGACACGACGACACGACGAGACGACAATAAAACCATCCGAAGCCCTGGGGGGTGGGGCAAGGCGGGCCAGGGGAGGCCGGGGAGGCCGGACTGGGAGGAAGGAGGCCAGGGCTACCAGGGAGGCCCGGGCAGGGGCTGCCAGGGGAAGCCACGACGACACGACACGACGACGACGACGACCACGACGACCACGACGACGACCACGACGACGACGACGACGAAAATGAAGCGATCCGAAGCCACGGGGGGGGGGTGGGCGGGAGGCCAGGGAGGCTGGAGGTCTGGGCCACCACCCAGGACTGAAGGGACATGAAGAAGTCGGAGCTCTGAGAAACAACTTTGCAAGATCATATCAATTAATTGTCGAACCCCTTCCATTGAAGTGCCCCCCCTGGGGCTTGCACCCTGTTTCTTTAATCAGGGAGATTCGTCCTGATCAAACTGCCCAGACAGGAACAGTAACGGCTCCCGCCTCATGCTTCCTCGCAATATCGCGCTCTCGCGCGGGACTTCCTGGGTCACGCGAGGGTCCCAGGTGGGGTCCCCGTGCCCCTGGGGCCTGCCCCCTAGGGCTGCGTGCGGCGCGCCCAGTGTAAGGGTGCAGGTCGGCCAGTGCCGCACTCGCGGAGTGCGCTGGCTCTCGCAACGATGTCTGACGGGTGCAGAAGCAATCCGACTCGTACCATTTCTCCCTGAATGTAAATATGTTCTGGCAGGCTTGCAGATTGACGGAGGCAGCAGCAGGACTCCACGAGTGATTCATTCATTCATTTTTCACTCCTCCTCGTCATCGTCATCACCACCATCATCACCATCATCATCATCATCATCATCATCATCATCATCATCATCATCATCATCATCACCACCACCATCACAATCATCACCATCCTCACCAACATCACCATCATCATCATCATCATCACAATCCGCATCATCATCATCGTTATCATCGCCATTATCACCACCAGCAAACACATCATCACCACCATCATCACAAACATCATCACCACCATCATCAGCATCGTCATAATCATCATCGTTATCATCATCATCAGCATTACCACCATCACAAGTATCTCAATACGTACCATCATCTACATCATCTTAATCACCATCATCCTGACCACCAACCTGATCATCTCCATCATCATCACCACCATCATCATCACCACCATCAGCATCAGCATCATCATCATCATCATCATCATCATCATCATTATCAGCATCATCCTAATCATCTTCACCTTCATCATCATCATCATCCTGATCACCATCATCCTCAACCTTCTTCTCCTTCTTCTCCTTCTTCTCCGTCCCCTCATCATCATCTCCATCGTCATCATCATCACCACCACTACCATCATCATCATCATCATCATCATCATCATCATCATCATCATCATAATCGCCTTCGTCGTTATCATCATAATCTCGATCATCTCCATGATCATCATCACCATCATCATCATCCTCATCCTCATCCTACTCATCATCATCATTGGCCTTCTATTCCTCCTCCCCCTCATCATCATTATCACCTTCGTCATCATCGTAATCACCATCATCACTGTCATCAGCATCGTCATCATCATCTTCATCACCATCACCACCACCACCATCATCACTATCATCATCACCATAACCACCACCATCATCATCACTAGCATAATCATCATCATCGCACTCATCATCATCCTCATCCTCATCATCATCATCATCATAATGAGCATCATCATCATCATCGTCATCGTCATCATCAGCACCTGTGTCATCATCATCATCATCAACATCATCATTATCATCGCCATCACCATCACCATGAGCAGCACCACCACCGTTATCATCCTCACCATCACCACCACCATGATGATGATCATCATCATCATAAGTATCGTTATCATCAGCAGCACCAGCACCAGCACCAGTATCAGCCTCAGCATCAACATAGTCAGCACCACCATTAGCACCATCATCACCACCACCATCATCATCATGATCATGATGATGATGATGATGATGATGATGATGATGATGATGATGATGATGATGAGGATGATCATCATCATCATCGTCATCATCACCACCACCACCATCACCATCAGTCACATTTCCACGCACCCCTAAAACGTCTCGTGGCTCCATAGGGAGCTCCACCCAAGGCCCCAGCGGGAGGGTTCGCATGGCGCCCTCGCGCTCATTTTGGCACACCCCTCAGACGTTTTCCAGCTTCGTGGCCCCAGGGAGCTCCACCGAAGACCGCAAGTTCGCATGGCGCCGCTGCACCTATGTCGGCACACCCCTCATACGTTTCGTGGCCCCCCTCCTTCTCACCTGCCTCGCGATACTCGCAGCTGCATCGGGTTGGGTCCTTCGCCAAGATAACTGTTACGTTTCTCCTCCTCCTCCCCCTCCTCCTCCTCCTTTCCCTCCTCCGCCTAGGGCCCGGGCAGCCGACTCCCAGGAGCAAGTTGCCCTCAAACGTCGCCGTACAACACAAGGCGGTCACCTTCGCCGGCAAGGTCCATTGGCCCACTGCGCGGGGCTTGCTGCCGGCGCCATCCGGGAAGCAGCGGGTGTCGTACTGCATGAGGTGGCAGCCGACTCCCGCGAACAGCCTCGGACGAACAGACTACGATCGGGCACTTCTTCCTCCTGCCCCGGCCCGCCTCCTCTTCTCCACGAAATCTTAGCATGCGGGGAACCAGTCCTGAAGGCAACGGGGCCTCTCCCAAGAACCAGCTCTCCATCCCGAGTCATGAGTCATTTCCTGGCGGTCCCATGGCCCGTGGAGGGCTCCCGGGAACCGAACACGGCGAAAGACATCCGGAGGCGTTTCCCTCAAACTTGCTATCGCTCGGACGTCGATTCCCTGTGTTTTTTTCGGTTTAGTGCGTGGGTTTTTCGCCAAATGATCAAGGATTCTCCTCGATGGTCCTCGCCGAAGGAAAAATGCACACGTCCGAGCGATGCCAAGCAAGACCTGCTTCCCTCGTGGCGCAGATCCCGGGCACGGCCAGACCTGGGACAGAAGAACAGCCTTCAAGAACGTGAGACCCTCCGCTGGCCAAACAGAAGAAACATTCGAGGTGACCCTCCCCCAGGATGCACAATAGCATCCAACAAACAAGAAGAACGTTGGGGTATCCTCCCCAAACCGACCTCGATCTTATATCTCGGTCCGACCGTGCAGAAGAAAGCCTCTCGCATCACCAGCAGACTGCTGGCACGCGCGGCGCAAATGGTCGTGCTGTGCGTGCAATGCCTGGAGGGATCTCGCCGCGCACAAGAGCGGCAACGCGATCCAGACGATGTTGATCGCGCAACCAGGCCCGCCTGCCCGCAGCGCGACCCTGAATCCTCCCCGTTTTGCGCCCCCGTGCCCCGCCCTTCGCCCTGGCCCGCAACTGCCTCCTCGCTGATTCGTTCTTTACCTCGGTGCGACCCGAAGCCCGTCTCGCAACGACCTCGGTGCCACCTCGTACTTGCCGGACACTTTGCTCCTGCGACCTTGCGGGCACCTCGCAACTTGCTCATCGCCGCGCCACCTCTGCCACGCACCTTTCCTGCATATCGAAATGTGATCACGCACACGTTTGCTTCTCTTCCACGATGATGCAGCCACGATCGGCCGACACGCACAGACAGAGACACAAACACGTAGAACGTTGACACACAGAGACACACACAGACGCACAGAGCTACACACAGGCATCTACAGGCACACACACGCACACCCACAAACACACATACACACAGCCACATCAACACTTCTTGCGTCGGCGGCAAGGCAGAGTAAGTGCGCTGGCGGACGAGCTAGCTAAACGGGGGCACGGTTGTAGCGAATTGTGCCACAATGCAAGGAACAACAGGAAAAAAGGGGGAGAGGGAGGCCGAAGGAGGGGGAGGAGGAGCGAGGGCGGCTCAGGGGGACGGGTTGCACCCGGAACGCGTGGCGCGGCCGGCCCCGCCGGCACGGTCTGCGGCGGCTGCTGCGCCGGGGTTCCAACGGCGGCGTGGCGCAGTGCGGGTACCGGAACAAGCCTAGTGGAGCCACATAAACACACACACACCAACGCAACAACTCTCCAACACACACGCAGCACAACAGCGTACCAGCAAGTCAACCTACCAATCCACCAACCCACCAACACAGACAAACGCAGACATCTACTCACAGACATACAGACATAAGTACATACACACTCGCAGACAAAGGCACAGACACGCAAACACACACACATACACAAACACATCGACATTTAAACACACGGATTCCAGATCGCACGAACCAGCCACCTGCCTCATAATATATGTTTGCATGAAACTTGCAGACAAGCAATTCAATTCAGCACAAAACAGAGCTTCGAATGACATAACCACTGCGCCTAATTTGGCTTTCGGGCCATAACTCGGGCCTCTGGTGGCCATCCGGGACGATCCGGGCACCCCAGAACGCCTTCGGCGAGGCGCAGCTGCTGCAGAGTATCCCGAGGCTGGAGAAACTGCCGAGAACAAGCGAAAACGTCCGAACAGCTCCCAAATCTTCGGGATTGTCGCGCTCCTTCTTGCCGGTTGACCCTCACAGATCGATTCGGCTCTTTTTCGAGCCAGATCGATCTGTGAGGGTCCTGGGGCCCGAAACTGGGTGAAAACGCCCGCTGTGAAAAAATTGTAACGCCAGGATCTCGGGGATATGACTCCCGGACCCGAGCCCCGTCCCTGAGCCTCCCACTAGGGGAACAAAAAGTGACATAAACATAAAAACTCGGAGGTCCGCGCGGATTTCTCGGATCGGCGCTGGGGCCCCCCAGCGGCGCCTCCGGCGCCGCCCCTGGCGCGCTCCGCGCGCCAGGGAGGGGGGGCCAGCGCCGATCCGAGAAATCCGCGCGGACCTTCGAGTTTTTATGTTTATGCCACTTTTGTTCCCCTAACCAACGACAAGTGGCGTCCAAATCAACCCCTCCTCCTCCTCCCCTCCTCCTCCTCCTCCTCTCCTCCTCCTCCTCCTCCTCCTCCTCCTCCTCCTCCTCCTCCTCCTCCTCCTCCTCCTCTCCTCCTCCTCCTCCTCCTCTCCTCCTCCTCCTCCTCTCCTCCTCCTCCTCCTCCTCCTCCTCCTCCTCCCCTCCTCTCCTCCTCATCCTCCTCCTCCTTCCTCCTCCTCCTCCTCCTCCTCCTCCTCCCTCCTCCCTCTCATCCCATACCTCCTCATCTCATTCCCTCTCTCCCTCCCTTCTCCCTGCTCGCTGAGAGCACACCTTGGTGCTCAGAACCTTGAACTCCATCATTCTGCGGAGCTCTCGCTCCGGATCGATCCGTGAGGGCCCCGGGGCTCGAAAAACGGTGCAGCAGAGCCTGTCACGCTGCATCCCCGCGACGCCCAGAGCTGCGGAACTGAAATCCTACGCCTCCGAATTGTTATGTTCATGCCACTTTTCGTTCCCCTCCTCCTCCTCCTCCTCCCATTCCTCCTCATCTCATTCCCTCTCTCCCTCCCTTCCCACCAGCCCGCGGTCGGCCGCTCGCCGAGAGAGCGCTGAGCAGACGGCATCGGATGGCCGCCCGTCAGCACGGCGAGCGCGCCGCAGGAGTCCTCCGGGCGGCCCCCCTCGGCCCCCGCCCTCGTGGGTGCAGGCCGCGGGCTCCTCCTCCTCCTCGTCCTCCTCCTCCTCCTCCTCCTCCTCCTCCCCAGTCCCCCTCTCTGTCCTCGCCCTCCTCCACCACCTTCTCCTCCCAGTACCCCTCCTCGTGTCCTCCTCGTCCTCCACCTTGCCTCTTCCTCCCTTCTCCTTCCTCTTCCTCCTCCTCCTCTTTTCCTCATCCACTCGTGATCCTCCTCCGCCTCCTCCTTCACTTGTCCGCCTGCCCGCCTCCTCCTCCTCCGACTCCTCCTCCTGCTCATCCCGCTTCTCCTGCCCTCCTCCCCCTCCGTCATTTGCCTTCTCTTCCTGCTGCTACTCCTCTCCTGGAAGCTTCTGGAGGTTCGAAGTGGCCAAGGCCGCACACGTACCTTGATTTCTGATCGTCGATCCTCCTCCTCCTCCTCCTCCTCCTCCGCCTCCTCCTCCTCCTGGTCCTCCTCCTGAGTCCTCCTCCTTCTCCTCATCCTCTGTCAGTCTGTCAGTCTGTCAGTCAGTCAGTCAGTCAGTCTGTCTACCCCTGCCTCAAACTCTGGCTCTGTCTCTGTCTGTCTGTCTCCCTAGGTGTATCGAAGGAGGGGGGCAGGCAGGGAGGAGGGGCAGCAAGGGTAGGAGGGCAAGGAGTAGGACCAGGAGGAAGGACTCCTCCTGCTCCTGCTCCTTGCGTGGGGTCGCTCTGATTGAATGGCGGCGCCACTTTTCAAATAGCGTTGGATCGGAGAATCGTGCCGATTCGAACGAGAGCAGCGGGCCCTGCTCGAAGCTGAGCTGCGCTTTATTTCGGTAGATCCGAGGGGCCTTTTGGCCCGTGTACTGCAGCCTCTGCAGCCTCACTGCCTCCCCCCCGCTCCTGATCCCTCATCCTCATCCTCTTCCTCCTCCTCCTCCTCCTTCTCAGCCCGCGCGGAGGGTGGGGAGGCAGGACGTGGTGAGTTCTGCTCAGGACCCCTCGAAGGCCGAGGAGCGAAGTCTTCGAGCGTTGTTGATACACGATTTGCTACCTGCGCCCCTTTCTCCGCCTCTGGGGGGCTCTCTGGAGGCATCCGGAAGCCTCCGGGGATCTCCAGGGACCTCCAGGGGCAGTGATCCGGGGCGGCAACAGAGCTGATCAGCAGGCAGGAGGGTCCACTGGGGGCCCTTGGCATGCCGCGGGGCCGTCAACAAAAGCAACCCGCGGACCAACGAGCTGCCCCGGGAAAGGGGTCCAAACTTCTCGGGGTCCGCGTCGCGAAAAGATCAAGACCAGGGATCTGGGAGGTAGAGAGGCATGAGCAGAGAGAAGCAGGGACCGAGGGGTGCCGCCCCCCCGCAGAGATATGGGTCGCGGGCCTCCTTCCTCCTCTACTCCCCCCCTCAACTTCTTCTCTTCTCTTCTCTTCTCTTCTCTTCTCTTCTCTGCTCTTCTCTGCTCTGCTCTGCTCTGCTCTGCTCTTCTCTTCTCTTCTCTTCTCTTCTCCCCTCTCCTCCAATTTCTCCTCCCTCCCTCCCTCCCTCCCTCCCTCTCTCTCTCTCTCTCTCTCTCTCTCTCTCTCTCTCCCCCCCCCTCCTCCTGCGGCGAGCGCGATGCGCTCGTTGCTTGGCGTGCGTGCGTGGGTGCGTGTGTGTGTGTGTGTGTGTTTTTGTGTGTGTGTGTGTGCGTGTGTGTGTGTGTGTGTGTGTGTGTGTGTGCGTGGGTGCGTGTGTGTGTGTGTGTGTGT